ATTATTTATTATTTATTATTTATTATTTATTATTTATTATTTATTATTTATTATTTATTATTAGTATTTATTATTTGTTATTTATTATTTATTATTTATTATTTATTATTTAATATTTATTATTTATTATTTATTATTTGTTATTTATTATTTGTTATTTATTATTAATTATTTTACATTAATTATTTATTATTCATTATTTATTATTTATTATTTGTTATTTATTATTAAATATTTAATATTAATTATTTATTATTCATTATTTATTATTTGTTATTTATTATTTATTATTTTTTATTTATTATTTATTATTTGTTATTTATTATTTGTTATTTATTATTAAATATTTAATATTAATTATTTATTATTCATTATTTATTATTTATTATTTATTATTTATTATTTATTACTTATTATTTATTATTTATTATTTATTATTTATTATTTATTATTTAGTATTTATTATTTATTATATATTATTTATTATTTATTATTTATTATTTATTATTTATCATTTATTTTATTTATTATTTATCATTTATTATTTATTATTTATTATTTATTATTTATTATTTATTATTTATTATTTATTATTTATTATTTATTATTTATTATTTATTATTTATTATTTATTATTTATTATTTATTATTTATTATTTATTATTTATTATTTATTATTTATTATTTATTATTTATTATTTATTATTTATTATTTATTATTTATTATTTATTATTTATTATTTATTATTTATTATTTATTATTTATTATTTGTTATTTATTATTTATTATTTATTATTTATTATTTACTATTTATTATTTATAATTAAGTATTTTTATTATTATTAATTATTATTATTATTATCATTATTATTAATTTATTATTAAATTTTTTTTTTATGTGCAACTGTTTTTGCGTCGTTTCAAAAAAACTTTTTAAAAAAATTGCTCATTAGTTTCGCACTTTACCACAAACTTATTTCCGTACAAGGAATTTTTCAGATATTTTCCTCCGCCTATAAGGCTGTAATTCCGCAAAATTTTAAACATTGCATTTTTTTAACTATTATCACAGTAAAACCATAAGCATTTTTCAAATTTTGAAAACGCAGAAAAGCAGTAGCTCTCTTCTCCTACCACGACATACTATATCTGAATTTTTAAAAAACAAAATGTCCGTTGAAATTCACCGCTATCTCAAATGCGTTTTTTTCAAATTTTTGATATCGTTTTACTTCTAGATCTTAGGCTGCACGAGTTTGAAGTTTTATCAGCTTATACACACTAATTAACTGTCCATTTCGTCTGAAGAAATTTTGTTAGGACCTCCACCCCTTTCAAGTTATTGCCTCATGAAGTTTGAAAAATTTGATGTTTTGGCACCAAACTTTTTCAAATTTCTATAAATGCAGAAAGCTAACGGTAAATTCCATGACATCAAAAAATACAATTATTTTTGTCATTTCGCGAAGTTAACCTTTGAATTCGAACGTTATGTTAACGTTTCTTTAAACATTTATTTGTTTTATCAAAAAGATTGTATGCCGTTCTCATTATAAATATATGCAATTTTTGAAATATATTCCTATACATGTGAATGAAAGTATTTTTAATAACAAATGTAGTTTATACATTGTTTTAAAAGCAGTATTTTCACGTTGAAGGGAAAAATGCTAAATTTCAAAACACTGATTTGACAAAACTTTATTTTTATACCCTGCACCTTCGTGAAGGGTATATGAAAATTGGTGTGGAGTTTTTTAACTAGTTGAAGGAGTCATCTGCGGTGTGGACATACATATATTCTTGCTCAGCGTAAAATTCTGCATTGATTTAGTCATGTCCGTCCGCCCGATAGCACGATAACTCCAAAACGAATAATGCAATCGACACCAAACTTTCACAAGCTGTTTCTTTTCTGCCAAGGACGAACTCTATTCTAATGAGACCAATCCGGACAACGGTTTCGGATAGCTGCCATACAACTCAAAGCGTTTATTATAAATATTAAAAACTAATGAAGGTATAAATATGAAATTTTGCCCAATTAAATTTTACAAATGTCCTAAAAATTTAATTGGAATCCATGGACGGGTTCGGTTGGCTGCCATACAACCCTAAAAGGAAATTTTAAATAGCTAGATACTATAAAAAAGTCAGATTCATGAAACTTCACAGTCGCGTGTCCATTTATAGGTCAGATATATTCTTGAAGTTTTTGTTGAATTGCTTGACAGATTCGGGTAGCTGCCATACAAGTCCAAAAGTTAATTTCAAATATTTGGAAAAATAATAAACTCAGATTCATGACTCTTGGCAGTCCTGTGTATATTCTTGAAGTTTTAGGTCAGATATATTTTTGGAGTTTTAGTTGAATTGCTTGGCAGGTTCGGGTAGCCGCCATACAAGTCTAAAAGCTAATTTTAATTATTTAGAAAAATATTAAAGCCAGATGCATGAAACTTTTCAGTCGTGTGTCCAATTAAAGGTCAGACATATTCGTGAAATTTCTGTTGAATGGTTTTGTAGCAACTGCTACACAACAGTGAAAGGTGCAGGGTACAATTCAATCGGTTTTTATCGATTGAAACGTTTTCACTTGTTTTTTTATTAAGAACACCAAAATACTCACAAATTGTGCTTTCTAATTCATATTGTTAAGGAAATTATTTAAAATATGAAACAAAAAATTTTGTATAAATAAGATTTTAGTTAATTTTGATTAATTTTGCTTTAATTGCTTTTATTTTGTTCTTCCAATACAAACGCTATTAAGTTAAATCTTCTATATTAGTTACATCTGAAGGTCATTAATTACATTTTTGGAATATTAACAAAATACACAAGAGTCGGTTGGATCAAAGCAGCTTGATTTATAATTGCTTGATTTATAATTTTTTGCGAAAAAGTTTTTCTTTGTTTGGGCTTTTTCGATAATTCAGTTCTAACTTAGTTCTGAATGTAAAGCACGTTCGATAAATCAAATCTGCAAAATCTGTAAAAGTAGCATGTCCGATAATGTTCTCGTGCAAAAAAAGCTCGTTCGAAAATACGATTGAGCTTTAAGTTCTTAGGCAATTTTAAAGATTTTTTTTTAATACTGCAATAAAAGTGAAAATTAGTAAAATAGAAAAATGTCGGATATTGAAGAATTAATGGGGTAAATTTATGCAATTTCTGTTTTGTACATTTAATAATTTATGTTTTTCTTTCATAGAGAGCTAGAAAATTAAAAATTTTGGGATAAATGTAAAATAAAAATGTTGATACAAGCCAGACTTGATGATGAAACAAACTACTACAAAACAATCGCGCTCCATCCTGAAATGTTCAAAAAATATGGTATCCGGCATCAAATTGATTGTTTCTAAGTAATTGGGTACCTTAAGGTACAAGGTTCTTTTCATTTTTTTTAATGTATGTTAGTAACATATGCTTTCGTCTTCTTTTATTTTCCAGATAAAAACGTATATTACTTTTTTCAATTTTTTCATTAAGTAGATCAATTATCTGATCTGTAACATATTTGCTTAGAAATTTTTTTTGTTCTTCAGACATCTTTCTTTTTTTATTTTTATAAAATTGACAATTTGCAAACAACAAAATAAAAGCTTGTTAAAAAAAATTTTAGACATTTCAGACATGCAAAGATATGTCATTTAGATTGTAGAAGTTTGTAAGTATGCGTAAAAAGTTTTTACAAACCTAAGTTAGATCTTTCAGAACTGAATTATCGAAAAAGCCCTTTTTTTTCCTGAAATTTTTGGAAATATTTTGTAGTGAAATAAAAGTAATGCAAATGTGTTTACTTTTGGAAAAGAAAAATATATACTAAATAATAATAGATTAAAAAATTTTATTTTTGTTCTGAAAATATTTTGTTTTCGTCATTTTTTTTTACATTTATTTTGGTTATATTTCCCGAGTTATTAATAAAAATGTAAAAATTAGACGATTTTCAGATATTCAAACTGTAAGACACCAACTCTGGAAAGAGGTTCCAAAAAGTAAAATGTCACTAAATATTCTTGTTTATCTGAAATCGTTCTACAGCCCTGCTTTGACAACTCTATTGAATCTCGCACACCCTGTATAATCTGTTAAATATTTTCTTAAAAATAAAAATGTAAAATCGGCTTGTAGTAAGAGTCTAGTTTCCGAGAAGGAACAGCACAAACGTTAGTAAAGTTAACTCAGTTCATTAAAGTCAGTTCAGTAGAAATTCAGATACATGAATATATACGCAAACAGACAGACAGACTAAAATAGTTACACAATATACGTAAACAGATAGACTTGCTAAAAAAGTTTATTTACCTTTATATCAATATACGAAGTTTGGTGCCATAACATATCCAACCTCATTACATGTTGGTTATTATAGTAATATAGTTTGTCACATTTTTAAATGTAGTAAATGAACTTAAAGATTTTTTGTCATAAACAATAATTGCTAAGCAATAAAAATAAACAAGAAATTAACACTTGTGCTTTTGTTTTTGGGTAGTTGATAAGTAAAACTCTTTTCATTTAAAAATTAAATTAAATACCAACAATAAACATCAATGGCAATATATATCAAGCAAATAAAAATAATTTAAATTTTCAAAATTACAAGAATTATTGTATTAAAAAAAGTTGACATAACAAAAATTTAAAAAAATTACTAATTGTTGTTTTGTGTTAATTACTCTTGTTGTTTATAGTAAATCGCTCATCTCATACAAAAGAGATTTCTTATAGAAATTTAAAAAAAAAGATTCCAGATTCGAACTCCTTACAAGCAAGAGCACTTAGAAAGATAAACAAAGCCTAATCCACTTAGCAAGATAAATATTGTTTATACTATTTTATATTTTTGATTATTACTTTGGTCATTAACTCTCAGCTTAAGTTAAAACATCCATCGATCTTTAAAATCACTCATAATTTTTTTTTTGCTCATTGCATTAAATTTCTAGGAAATGAAAATGTAATAATGAATAATGATAAAAATATTTACCATGGTCATCCATACGTTTCCGTTTTATGCTATTTCCATTTGGATCCGTTGTATGTTGAATACCTAATATACCATTTATGCTATAACCTGTAGTTCTATGCTCAACGTGACTACCATTACTTAAACCACCAGAACCATTGCCACCATTATTGTTTGCAGTTCCACCATTAACACCTGTATTATCTCCCCCACTACCACTACCCGGATGTTGAGGATTAAGTTGATTTTGTTGTTGAACTGAAAGTAAATGTCCAATTGAATACAAATGTTTCTAATCTGATTCAAAAAATAACAAAATCTTTTTATGGATTTCGCAAATTTTCTATATTTTTTTGTGTATTTTATTTTACTGAATTACCATTTGTTGTTCCAATTGATGTATTTCCAGTATTGTTACCACTATTGCCACTAATATTATTACCATTTCCACTACCACCATTTGTTCCTCCCGCACATCGGCTACCACCTCCTGCACCAGAACTGCCACCGTTACTTGAATTACCAATAATATTGACATTATTAACAACACTATTTCCAAGGTTATCATCACTATTTGGTCCATTATCATTATTTGTATTCGGTTGTAAGTTATTATTATTGCTACTATTATTGCTGCTAGATTGCTGTTGTTGTTGCTGTTGTTGATGATGAACATGTTTTGCTTTTTCTGCAGCTTTATTACGTACAATTCTTTAAAATTTAAATTATAATTATTTTTTAATAGACATTATTAAGCAATGTCTAATATTAAATTAGACATTATAAGAATAATTTGTAACAATTAGATAACAAATAAATTGATGATGGCTTCAAAACTAACTAAAAAAAAATTTCAATACTAATCTATTGATAACTAGCTTAAAAAAAATTACGTTCAATGATAACAATTAAATATTTTGGTTAAATCATAGTTTTGGTTAAAAAAGCAACAAAATAGAAAGGCTACAACATTTTTGACAAAATTGATAAATGTGGCAGTTAACCTGAGGTATGTTCCTGGGTCTTGGAAAGTAGTGGAAGTTATTATGACAGGAAAACCGGGAAAATCCTTGATTGGGGCAAAGTTATATAGACCAATTTCTCTGTTACCAATGATAGCAAAACGTTTTGGAAAATTGTTACTAACAAGGCTGATAATAGATAATAAGTCTGTTAACAACAGTTATAATAGATAATAGGAACAAATCTTCATCATAATTTAGCAACAAAAATGCATATTTTTGAATTTGTGTTGCTATATCTACGTACCACTTATATGTTCTCATAATACTATACATAATTTTTATTCACTTATAACATATGCTATACATAATTACGAGTACGAGTATATTTTTTAATTTTCAAAAGTATTAATTATTACAAAATTTCATATAAAAATATTTCGTAAATAAAATATATTTATAAATATTTTATAAAGGGATTGTGTTTTATCGATTTTTGTAATTTGTTTTCGAAAATTTTTTCATTCGCGGTAATTTAAAACTATTAAAAAATTCTTGTGAATTTTCCAGAATTTGAACATAGAAAAAATAAAAATTAAAAGGCTTCAATAAGTTTTATTTTGAAAAAGTCAGGCCTAAGAGCTCAGCAGACATGCAATTTTTAGTACTGCAACTGTTTGATTGCTTAATGATATTTCATAAGTTAGCATTCAAGCGCGTACACATCCAACTCTATTGTCGACAATTGTAATTTTTTAACAAACTGATTGCAATTTTTAGTTTATGCAATTGATTCGAATTGACGCAATAGTTTAGTTTCTTTCAGAAAATTTGATACAAAAAAATTTTTTTTTTTCTCAAAAGTATTTTCAGGACAAAGTATTTGCCGCGCTACTACAGAAGGGTTTTCAACACATTGCTAAAGAATTGTTGGAGATCTTTCGTGCCGGTTATGCGTGCCGTTACATTCCACAATCGTAGAGCTAAGATGACGTGGCGAAATAAACGACGAATCAACCACGCTAGATTTTGCGTCCCATTAGTCTTACTTAGGAGGATGCACTTGGGGTTAGCTACTTACATGACTTTCAGTATGTGTATCAGCCGGGATAGTTCACTATATTCGCTCTACAGGGTCCGTGCCGGTCATCGAGAACTCGCTGAATGCAAGAGAAGTGGAAGTTGGATGTTTCCTTCACATCGAAGGGAAACGTTTGACAACACTTCATATAGTGCCATCTGTGTTTCGCTCACCGACGTGGAGTCATTGCGGATGATGATGCGACGTTTGTTGTTCGCAACGAATTCGGGAGCACGATTTCTGACCTTCTACAACAGAACCTAAAGGTTGTGGAATTGTGGTCCAAAGACGTGGCACTAAATATAGAATCCAGCAGGAGCGCCTTGGCTGTCTTTACAAAACGTAGAAATAGGGAACGATTAACGAGTTTTTCTCAGTTTGTTGAACGCATTGCGCATTACACGAAGGTTAAGTGCTTGGAAGTAACCCCAGATGATCGACTTTCATGAACTCATATAGACAGAATCATTGAAAAGGCAACGACCGTTTTGTGGAAATCTTCAGAGGCTTGTCTAGTAGTGACTGGAGCAATGCGAACTATTATAAGAATACATTGTGCGCAAGGATCGACCAAAAACTTACCGACATCTCACTAATGATAATGCCGTATGAAAATATTGGCCTACGGCATCGGGAGCGACCCTGTGCTCCAGATAGCCATCTCAGACGTCTGTCTCTCGCGGTATAACTTCGGACAGAGTGGACCAGTTTTTGCGCTTCACTTAATGGGATTTGGGGTTATTTTCGTTTGGCCCTTCCCATTCTGTGGACTGTCAATGCCAGAAATTAGGGACAGACTTGGCGCTCTGCTTCAGGGGGAATTCTTCGCTGAAACACTACTGAGGTATATCATCATGCGGAACTGTTCCTTTCATCTTGCTCAAAGAAGCTCTAATCAAAGCTGCTTTGAACGAACTGTAACCGGGTTCGTGCTGCAACTGATTTCTTTACTGGAGCTTGTTTAGTGACATATTACTTGCATAAACTGGACATATCAGACTCCTCTTTGTGTAGATTCTCCGAGGTGTAAATATTCTGTGTAGCTGTCCTACTATGGACAGCTACACGACAATGAAATATGCAAAGACTAATTTTAACGAAATCAACGAAATTTAATTTTATATGAAAAAAAATATTATTTTGTTAATTTAATTCAACAAAAACATATTTTATTTTATCATGTGTGCGTGCGTGCCATATGCTGTCTGAAAATTGTTGAATTACGGTACTTAAAGCCTTTTGACAAAAAAAGAGCTGCAAACCTTTATGTTGTTAAAAGAACATTAAATGGTGTATGCAATGTGAAGCTATCAAGACTAGGGTGGCACAAAATTGAACCAAATAACATTTATTTATTTATTTATTTATTTATTTATTTCAGTATGTCTGAAGAGAATACAAATTTATTCTCATATAAAGACTATATAACAAAAATGAATTTTTTTTAATAAAAAGTAAAGTATATATAAATCAAATTTGTATCAGTTTAATAAGTAAATGTTATATGCAATAAAATAAAAAAAAAATTAGAATTCAATTTTAATAGTTAAATAAGCAAAAACAATATTCGTAGTATAGTACAAAGTAAATTTTAAAATTCAAAAAAGAGAAAAGAAAAAGAAAATTAGAAATAAAACCAACAAACTAAAATTAATAATCATACAGCTATAATATTATATTGTAATTATCAAATCAACTAAATAAAGAAGTTTTACTGTAATTTTGTAGTGTTTTATCTCTTAATCTATTTTTTAAACAAACAGCATTAAGTAATTTGAGTTTATTTTCAAGGCCATTGTACCATTGTATACCCAAACTTATTGATGTTGATGTACCATAGTGCACTGTGTTTTTACGATCAATGTGTATTAAATTTATTTTAACAATATCCCATTTGCTTGATGGATAAATTGAGTGTGTTCTCTCCAATTATGGTTAAAAAGATTTTTTATAGGACGATTTTGAATAATTTGCAAAGCATAAGTTGTTTTTTTTGTTGAAGCACTCCGTAATTTAATACCATAGCTTACATGGCTATGAAATAGTGAATAAAAAATAGACTTTTTTACGTCATTTGGAACTAATGTAGAAATTCTTTTAAATATTCCAGCAACAACAGATAGTTTATTTCCCAATTTACTTGTATGAACATTCCATTTTAATTGCGAATCAATCCATAAGCCAAGATATTTATATTCTGGAACCTCATCAAGAACTTGATTGTTTAAATAGATATTAATTCTATGACATGTTGACCCAATAATCATATATTTTGTCTTTTTAATATTAATGAGGAGTTTCTGTTTAGTCATCCAGTCATAAATTCTATCTAGTTCACAATTCATTCTGTGTTCAAGCTGACTTATGGTTTCTGCTTGAAATACTATACAAATATCATCAGCATATAGGAATATGTCCACATTCTTATATGCAGAATGTATGCTGTCAATATACAAACTAAAAAGAAGTGGTCCTAATATGCTACCTTGCGGGACTCCTAAATTAATCTGTGATTTGTTACTCTCAATATCATTGATTTTAATAAATTGTGAACGGTTTTTTAAATAAGACTCAAACCACTTAAATTCTCTGCCTTTAACTCCGAAACCATATAGTTTTTTCAATAAAATATCATGATTGACCATATCAAATGCTTTCGATAAATCTATAAAAACTAAAGATATAACTTTTCTATTATCTTTCAAAAATTGTACTTTTGTTATCATATCAATAATCGCAGTTTCAGTACTTGATTTTCTTTTAAACCCATATTGATTTTTTGAAAGCAAATCATACTTATCCAACTCATAAAAAAATAACTCATAAAAAAATTTATGTTCAATATTGGTAGCCAAATTTTCCCCTATTGTAGCAAAGTATGTATTAAATTCATTAATCTTATTCACAGCATCGATATTATTTAAATCATTTAACAAATCTATGCTCCTGGTATTTTTGTCTCTATTGTACAAAATATTATTTATACAATCCCAGGTCTTTTTAGAATCATTTTTACTAGCTTTAAATAAGTTTTCGAAATATTTTTTCTTTTTCGTTCGCCTTAATTTTGTCACCATATTTCTATAATATTTGAAATTGTGTTCTAAATAAGAATTTGTTCTTTCTTTTTTATATTTAGAATACCAATAATGTTTGGATTCAACAGCAATTAATAATTCTTTGTCAATCCAGCTATTCTCATTATTATAATGCTTAGGTTTTCCATTTTTCTTTATTTTTGTTGACAAATTAATTTTTTCTCTAAATATCGATATAAATTCAGAAAATATTGTGTGTGAAAATATTGTGTGTTTAAAAAATTCATGTAATTATTAGTTATTTTTGTGTTTTCCAATGAATTGATATTGAAATCACCAATAATATATGTGGTTTTGTTACAATTTGTGCTTATTATGCATTCTTCAAATGTATTAAGGAAAGATTTTATTTTGTCATTAATTTCAGTTGGTGCTCTGTATATATTAATTATGTTGTACACATTATTATTTTTAAAAATAGTTACACTTAAAAAGCTATTAGGATTATCGCTGAAAGAGAATATTTCTTGGTAAGTTAAGTTTTTGTGTACAAAAATACCACAACCACCACCAGTTTTTTCAGTTCGACAACAATATATTGGATTAAAGTTTAAAATATTAAAATACTGA